GCAAGATGGTGCTGTATAAATGGAGAGAGTTGTATATCAGTAGAGCTTGAATCTGATCCGCTGTCGCACATCCTTGACGCAGACTGTGCACTCCAGCACCTGAGTCTTCATCTGTGGCTGATGGATGGTGATGGAGGTTGGATGCACGAATAGGAGGCTGGCCCGAGCTGATGCCGCTAGCCCTCGTGGGATTTCGGACCGACGGCCGCTGACGGGCGCTGTGCCGCCTGCGTCACCGGCCAGAGCGTGGTTGGACAACCAATCCAGGGGGTGGAGCTGGTCTACACAGTCATCCCGGTGCCTATCTCGTTGTACTCTGCTGGCTGGCGCCTCAAACGTCACGTTCGATTACGAAATGCTGAGTGGGAATGCCTAGTGAGAGCACGGAGGCTCCGTACAGCCACCTGCGAGGGATCCAGGGGAGGTTCGACTGCGACGCATCATGAGCTGGACAGTACCGGGAGCTACGGGCGCTGAAGCGGCACGGAGGGGGAGCGCCCATCGGTTGGTTTGGTTGGCAAACATTGTCTCGTACTGTGTGTCTATCACGCCGCCTTTCCATGGCATGACCTTTTCAACAACCAAACCCTGTGTATCGATGCCCTCAGAGTTGGGTGAAGCACCCATAGTTGAGGGAATTCTGAGTTCTCAGAGCCGCCGTGTGCGAGGTTTTGAAAGGCGCCGCTGAAGACGTTCTGGCCTGAAGCCTGAAGACTTTGAATTGAGTGGTGATTGGGGTCGCATCTTGTTGCCCCGTCGAAATGAGGGGATTGCATTGGCGGCGCGTGAGGTCTGCATGCTGGCCTGTGTCTAGTGTATGGTGGTGCGGAGGACTGGAGCCGTGGAGATCTGGGAGCTTGCCAGGACGCACGGTGAGTGGCCGAGAACGCCAGAAGGTCGCAGCCGGATTGTAGCGAGATGTGGAGGGAGATGACATGCGATGCGGGCGAATGAAGTGGCGAGTACGCTGCGGCCCAAGGGAAGACTGGTTGGGGCCTTCGGAGCAGTACCTCTGGGTACATGGCATCGCAGACAGGGAGTGAGCTAGCACCCTCCATGCTGATCACTTGGTTAACTCGAATGTTGCAGCGACTGGAAACCTAGCTCTCATTTGGCCTGCCTGACCTGACCGACACGACCGAGTCAACACCTGCTCGAGGGACGGGTCTCTTGCAACGAGACACAGGGTTTCCCTTCTCCGCTCGCTCGGCGGCTTTCTTTCTCCATGCTTGAATGGACTTGACGGTTACAGGCCAATCAACGCAAGTTCCTGCAGACGGGGTCGATCCCTTTGGCCCGGCCAAGCGTGTGAAAGATGTGGCGTGGCTGGCCTTCCCAAGTCAATTTCCTGATGCTGGAAAGTTTGGTTCTGACAAGTCCTTCGTTTCGGGCAAAGTACTCCTTACGGCGAGCAGGATCCTGGTGATGTGATGCATGGAGGATGTCGACAAGCAAAGCTAGTCCTTGACTTGCGGTCTAGCACATCAATGGCACATTCTTGCGAGAATAATTCAGTCCGCCTACCTACCTGCTTACCTACCTAGGTGCCTGCCTTAGGTAGGCAGGTAAGGCTAGTGAGGCAGGGAGTTTAGGTGTCAAGGTGAGGCGCCAGGCTCCCAAGAATGGGCAGTCGGTAGGCGACATGGAGAAGGTGCTGCCGTACTGTGCGCGTACTTGCTGTCTGCGGTGCCTACCAGAGCTGGGTTGTACCTTCCTCCCTTTGTCACAAGACTACGAGATGGCACGGGGCAGGACCTTTTGAGGAAGGCAGCACCAGGCCATGCAGCCAGGCGACGCTTTCTTGCCAGTGATTCCTCCCATTGTCATGGCGCTCCCCACCGTTGCGCCCATGTCTTCCCAGGAGGGCGACCAAGCAGTCCACACGATGATGCGTGACTCTGGCCCTGCGCCGCTACCATCTGCCTCCACCAGACAAGGTCGCGCGACGTAGCGACTCCAATAGAACTGGACGACACACGAGACTCCCAGCGCCGACCATATCACACAAACACACATACATAGACACACGCTGAGGAAACACTGGCATGTCCTGAGGTCAGAAAGGCAAGGGCACACCACCACACCGATCTGATCAAAAACACGGCACACGGGACTCGGCGCGACGTCTTTTCGGCCTTCGCAACCATCTCCCGTCTACGCCGTGTCCCTACCTCAAGTGGCGCCCCAGACGTCCCAGGCGTTCACCATGGACAAATGGCAATGGCCACCAGGGCCACCAAGCATGTTGGACTGCTGCAAAAGCATGGCAGGCATCCTTTGACATACCGTTGCTCCCGTCCGTCCCAGGCTTGCTCCATCGGCTGGTATCGCGAAGTACCGAAGCCAATCTGGCTCCTGAGCGCCCACCACCCTCGCTAGTACGGCACAAGGGGGCAAGGGCCGGGGTCTGGAGTACCGCTGGATGCACGCCAGGCACTGTGGTGCGCCCAAGCGAACACTGACAGGCTCGATGAGACACAGCAACCACCACCAGCATCGATCAGAATTGGGGTAATGTCTCGCACTTCTACTTCTCCGCGTCTACGCCTTGCTTCTTCTGTCATTTGCACCTGCGTCACACATGGCCTCGACATGGGCACCAACAGGATCAGGAGCATGATGCGAACCGCCAGCAGCGCCACCTTGGAGCCCACGTTGTGCCATTCCCACGCCGCTGGCCGGTCTCGGTCTGTCGATGCCCATGACTTCTAGCGTCGACAGACCTTGGGCCCGTTTGTCTCGCCGTCGTGTGAGAATCAATTCCACCAGTCGATGACAAGCCGCTAGCAGCCACCAACATACTATACTCCCCTGACCACAGAGCACGCCCTGACCCCCCCTTTCTGCCACTCATCAGCAGCTGGGCCTGCACTCGGGCGCCCGTCGGCCCGCGTGGGTGGAAGGGGAGAGTACCTTCGGTTCTTTCCAGGTGGATAGGGACGGGCCATCGCACTGTGGTTGGCGATCGTTTTTCTTCGCCTTCTGTCGCAGACAAGAGACCATTTCGCACAATCATTGACCGTGGCCGAGGCTACGCTTTTGCCATGGACGACTAGCCCCACCTACCTCTCACTAAGATACCTTCGAGTAAGGTTCGTGGCCGGTTGTCTTACGACCGAGGGCTAGGAAGACGTGGTCGTGAGCGAGCTCGCCGAATCGGTGTAGCAACAGCCGGGTTGGCACAGTCCAGGCAGTGCCAGCTCGCCGAAAAGCTTCCAGTAAGCATCTCTTCAAGGAGGGAGTCGACAGTTGAACGACTCATGGGTGGAGACCCCAGACTTCCACGTCGGTCAGGTCAGGACATGCTACCGATGCCCGCGCCGGCGCCAACCGTCCGCTGCCCAACCCAAGCACCCCATCAGTCCCATGCTGGATTGCATACAACTCGGCCTGTCCCTCGGTCCATCAACCACACCCTACCAACCCCGAGCATCAATGGGCTGAAGCATGCGGGCAACATGCTGGTGACTGTCCAGACCTGCCTCTGGTGCCAGGCACCATCAGTATGCCTCGATCCCGCTTCTGCACCCCAGCCGGCCCTTCTGGTCCAGCCCATGGCCATCCTGAGTTGTTCGTTGCGTTACAAAGTTCTCAGCCACTGCAATGTACATGTACTGCAACGTCTCTGCTTAACCCCACACCACACCCACACTCGGCGCCAGTCGCCCGTTTTCCCCTCCCATCTCTTGGTTCGCTCGTCTGGTCTCGACCGTATGTCCAAGACCCCTGTTCCCCTCATTGCAACCCTGGAAAAGCCTGGCTCTGTCGCTCCCTATCCTCTTGTGTGCAAGCGGCTCCCATCCTACCCCAAGGGGGAGAAGAGGAGGAACCAGACGATCCTGGCCCTGTCGCCTGTGCCACCTCTCGGCTTCGAGAACGAGCCGGGGGACATCATCCGCTAACAAAAATTATCACTCCAGCCAGCACATACATCGTCTCCATTTCTGTTACTCAACCTTTCCTGCTCCTTCCGGCGGCCGGCGGTGATGTCTCTTGCTAGACGTTCATTGCTTTGAAGTTTTGCATGCTCACTTGTTCAACGCTACAACAGCCACCAGTGTATTGTCGGGAGAAGCTTGGCTTTGCGAAAGCTTTCTTGCATCATCAACTCATCTTAATAACCTGTATCAAGAAAAGACTCTCCCCCGGGCCTGAACCGATCTTCCTGAGCCGCGTTCTGACTAGCCTGGCCTTGTCCCTGTTCTGATACAAGCCGATCTCGACTTTGTTATTTCTAAATCACCGCCAATTGACAGTCTCCAGGTGGCACAACAGCGAGACCGAGGCGTTGGGCTCTCTCTTAACGCTATTGTAACATTTCCGGACTTGGCTTCCGCCATCGCTCATCCACCTGCTCTCCTCGGTGACGCACGTCTTCTTACCACCCAACTTCAACGTTGAGGACGACGGCAAGTGGACTTCACTCTCTTCTTCAAGTTTGCATTAGGTCTGGTCGGGGGCTTGACCCATCTCCCACTTGTCCCTGTCATTTCGTCCACCCACACACACCGTCAACCCCACCATCCTTCTCACGCGTACGTACTTATTTATGTACGGTACATGGTTGCGTTCCCGTTCGCCACAGATCACACCTCGGCGTCTTGTTGACACGACCCCTGCTCCTTCGATTCCACCCAGCTACCTAATATCTGCATGCTCTCCGCCATCTTCTCCGTCTCTTCCCCACACCTCAGCATCTTGGCCCCTGCTTTACTTGCTAACCAGCACCTCTTTAGCTCTGGCCCGAACTCAAGGTGGATCAAGCCTGCCTGGTCTCCCACTGCCATTTCCAACATATAGACGTCGTCTCCCTCACAGCTGCCAAGGTCCCTTTTGATCCCGACTCCCTTCTGAGGACTCATTTGATCGGAGAACACCCCTTCTCAGCGTCGATATCGGCACAACAGAATTGCCACGCCGCATAATCCTGACGTAACGACAGGACGTTACCAGCAACCGTAGCCATCGTGGGTCTGCAACATCCTGAGACGGGAGTCACAATGTTGTCCAACCCGTTGCATCGATTTTCGCCCTATCACGCCGCGCTTCCAGCTTCAACTCTTTTCTCCAACGGGCATGCGCCCGCCAACCACCCCCATCCTGGCGGCATGAACGAAATGTCCCAGGGTTACGCCCTTCAGCAACAACTTCAACACGCTGCAGTCCACAACCCCCACCTCGCGCGAAACGCTCCTCAGCAAAAACATCGGCAACACCCATACGGTCCAGCAACCAGGACTTCTACTGGCTCAGGCCCTATCAGGAGGAGGATTAGCCGGGCATGCGACCAATGCAACCAATTGAGGACCAAGTGCGACGGGCAACATCCCTGCGCTCATTGTATAGGTATGTTGGAAGCCAATGATTGTAAGCAGCAACAAATTGCTGACCCAAGGCATTAGAATTCGGCCTGGGCTGCGAATACGTCCGTGAGAGGAAGAAGCGCGGCAAGGCGTCCAGGAAAGACCTCGCCCAAGCAGCGGCAGCGGCAGCACAGGCGGCCAACGGATCCAATGGAAAATCAGATACAGACGAAAATGGAGACTCCTCTGAACACAATGGTGAACCTGCCCCCAGAAGGGTTTCAACTAATGGTTCGAGTTCCCACTCTGGCATCAAGGTGGATGATATGAGCGAAGACGCAACGCGGCAGAGCCAGCGAACGGCATCCCTGGACACTTTGGACGACTTGAACACACACCAACACCACATGGCCCAGCACCAAGTCTTAGAGAGGGAGCATCTTGGCAGCCCAACTACTCTGGACATGAATAGCTACGGAGCCGGCATGCACCATGGATATGAAAGGCAAGCGTTGGGAGCCCCGATGCTAAACGGTCCGACACATGGACCGTATGGGCCCAGCCAGGGCAACATGCCGGCATATACGGAGCTACCGTACGGCATGCAGGCTCAGAGCCCGGCAGCCTACCCTACGAATCCTCATTTCCGAATCGGCAATAGCCCGATGGGCGCGTATCCCATGGGCAACGAGCCAACTTCTCCCGGGTGGATAAACATGTCCTCACCAACGGCACAATATCCATCCCATATTCCTCAACACAGTTACGTACACGGCACTCAAAACCTACGTTATCCAGTATTGGAGCCTCTCATCCCTCACCTCAACAACATTGTTCCCATACCATTGGCCTGCGACTTGGTTGACCTCTACTTCGCCTCATCTTCATCTGCGCAGATGCACCCTATGTCGCCCTACGTCCTAGGGTATGTCTTCCGGAAGCGAGCTTTCCTCCATCCTACGAAACCAAGACTGTGCCAGCCCGCTCTGCTAGCAAGCATGCTTTGGGTTGCCGCCCAAACTAGCGATGCTCCATTTTTGACGAGCATCCCCTCGGCGAGGGGCAAGATCTGTCAGAGGCTCCTTGAATTGACTGTCAGTCTTCTCAAGCCACTGATCCATACGCCCACGGGAGAGCCCTCGCCAGCAACAAGTCCAGTCATCGATGGCGTTGCACTTGGAGGGCTTGGGGTTGCGCTTCCCGGCACCATGAGCCTCGATGCTCTGACAGGAGAGTCAGGCGCGTTCGGGGCTGCTGGCAAGCTGGATGATGTCATCACCTACATCCACTTGGCTACTGTGGTGTCTGCAAGCGAATATAAGGGAGCGAGCCTACGGTGGTGGAACGCAGCGTGGTCTCTAGCACGCGAGCTCAAGCTTGGTCGCGAGCTCCCGCCTTCCATGAGACCCATGGGGCCTGTCGACGGAGATGACGGGGATGTCGGAGCTTCCAACGGCATGAATGGCGGTACCAGCACGCCGGGCTCCATCACTGAAGAGGAACGAGAGGAGCGCCGACGGATCTGGTGGCTGGCCTATATTGTCGATCGGCATCTGGCTCTTTGTTACAACCGCCCCCTCTTCCTCTTGGACCTTGAATGCTCCGGCCTCTTCCAGCCGATGGACGACATGGCCTATCAGAACGGTGATTTCGAGAGCTACATGGGTAACACGACGGATCCCAACCTCGCCGGCGAGGGCCTTCATCAGCAACCTTTGCGAATCCGCGGACCTCACTTTGAGTGTACAGGACATAGTATCTTTGGATATTTCCTCCCTCTCATGACCATACTTGGTGAGATAGTCGACTTGCATCACGCGCGAAACCACCCGCGCTTTGGTGTAGGTTTTCGCATGGCACGAGACTGGGATGAGCAGGCTATGGAGATCACGCGCCACCTCGAGGCTTACGAGCATAGTTTGAAGCGTTTCGAGCAGCAGTACCTTCGTCGCATGCACCCCGAAGGCGAAGGTCTAGCGCCCAATTGCGATCAGGCGTCTGCACTGGATGCCCCTGACCACAACGGCGCTGCAGATATTGGTACTCCCTCGGTCCACTCAGTGCACACGAACTCGTCGAATCGAATGACAGAGTCGGATATCCAGACCAAGATCGTCATGGCATATGGCACGCATGTCATGCATGTACTGCATATTCTTCTCGCCGGAAAGTGGGATCCTATCAATTTAATTGATGATAACGATCTATGGATTTCAAGCCAGGGCTTCATCACGGCCACAGGGCACGCCGTCTCGGCAGCCGAAGCCATCAGCCACATTCTCGAGTTCGACCCAGGCCTAGAGTTCATGCCTTTCTTTTTCGGCATCTACTTGCTGCAGGGCTCGTTCTTGCTGCTCCTAATCGCAGACAAGCTGCAATTAGAAGCCAGCCCGAGTGTAGTGAAAGCTTGCGAAACCATCGTCCGGGCCCACGAAGCTTGCGTGGTGACACTTAATACGGAGTATCAGGTTCGTAGCACTCCCATCGTACACTACTTGAAACCATATACACATGATGCTAACCGCCTCGCAGCGCAACTTCAGCAAAGTAATGCGGAGTGCTCTGGCACAGGTCCGTGGTCGGGTGCCCGAAGACCTAGGCGAACAGCACCAGCGCCGACGTGAGCTGCTGGCTTTGTACCGCTGGACTGGCGACGGCACTGGTCTTGCCCTGTGATGGCAGCACATGTGACAGAACTGTACGATGACGAATATTTTGGATTTCTGCGAATAGCGCACTTTGATTTGGTTTGGGAAAGGGGCGCAAATGCTGGAGCAGGAACTAGGGCGGGCGTGATATACCAGTCGCAGACGGGGTCCGACACTTGAAACGGGAAAGGCATACAAACATGGCAACACAAAAAAGACAAAGGCGGACCAGCTGCGGGCCTGGGAATGGAATGAAACAAGGGCAAGAGACACGAGACATGAAGAATACCCAACGCTGAAAACCTTACCAGCGCATTGGCGGGGAAGAATGTCGGAGCTCTTCTGCTGTTGGGAGCGGCTGCTCATGCTTGTTCGTGAGACTCGGGCATCAGGGCGTGGACAGAGGACGGCATTGGCTTGCGTGCTGCAGGTGGTGAGTTCACGAACTGTACATGGTTGTTGGAAAGCGTTCATCTGGGAGACGAGTGTCGAGTAGGCGATTATAATAACATTTTTCAACTCTGCCGTGCGCGCCTCTGCGGTTCCTGTGAATGCACAAATGATTTTTTTTCATTTGATGTTAGATCTTACGACTACGCTGGGATATAGCTCAGTCATCATGTGCACATGGAGAGATAGCTGTCTTCGGTCCAGTGGTTTCCACATATAGACGCTCAGCCATGATCAATTACCTGCCTCTCAAGAAGATAAAGAGGGCAACATCAAGGCTGACATCCCGACTATACAAAGCGGCGCTTGGTTGTATGCATCAAAGTCGACTCATGATTACAGACAACGTAGGTATGGGATGTGACGTAATCGCGACCTTGAAGAGTACATCGTTGGCTATCCGAGGACCAGGCGTGAGTGACAGTAGCAGCTATCATGTCCGCTCAATCGAATACAAAAAAAACGCCCAATCATGACCAAACGCGGCAGGCAGAGGGACCAGCCTGACTAGGAGCAGACAAAGTTACCCATGAAAATACATCAGTCCCCTATCCTTCCAAATTGCAAACATTTAGTCCAGGCCCGGCGGCAGCCAACCGGGGTTGTCCCGCAGCGAACTCAGCGCCTCAAAGCCGATGCGCTCCTCTGAGCCGTTTCGAGGCGGAGCGTCGTTAGCCTGCGGCCCATTGACGCGATATTGTCTGCCGCTACTGTCGGGAGTGCCGCCCTGGAACATGAACATGTTTTGCGGGCTCTGTTCTGCGGACATGCCCGCCATGCCCCAAGCCTCGAAGTTCTGGTGCCACTTGGCGCCGTCGTTGAGGAACCAGTCTTGGTCGAGCTCTTGGAAGACCTGGGGGCTGGGAGGTAGCGGTCGTGGGGGCATCGGTCGTTGATGTCTTTGCTGCTGCTGCTGTTGTGCTTGTTGTTGCTGCTGCTGCTGTCGTGCTTGTTGTTGCTGCTGCTGCTGCTGCGCCTGTTGATGTTGTTGTTGTTGCTTTTGAGGACGGTGGTAGGCAGGAATGGGCTGTGCCGACGGCCACGAGGTGAGGGGGACCTGTGGATTCGAGGTTGGTGTTGATGTGAGAGAAGCAAGGTCAAGCGAGGGGCTGGCGAGAGGGAAGTTCCCGGTTTGCGCCGAGATGTCGCCCGGTATGCGTGGTTGAATAAACTGGTCGATGGGACTGTAGCCCTGGGTGGGTTGAGGAGCGGGCGATGGCACATGGTCGTTGGAGCCCGTCGGAGAAACGCCGGTTCCGTGGTTTGAGGAAGGACTCGGGACGTCGCTCGTGTTGAAGGTACCATACTTTTCGTCTGTGCGACGAAGGGTAACGGAGGCCTCGTCAGGAAGCTCAACGTTCCATTTCCGACCGAGAACACTGATGATGCCAAGAGTGCGGCGCGCACATGGCCAATCTTCGGCGATCTCCTCGAGGTGCTTGACACCATGCGTGATGTCACGTCGAGCTGTCTTCTCGGGTAGGTTGAGCATGTGAATGGTGCATGCGCTGTGCACCATGTAGACTGCAATATTGCAAATCTGGCGCAGGTTCCAAGTCTTCTTGTAGAGGCGCATGAGCTTGGATATGGCACCGGCATTGGCGGTGCAGATCCGCCGCGGTGAGACATGGGATGGTAGGGGCGAGGCCGCAGGGGTATACTTGAGGAAGGGGCGGAACAGATGGATGTACTGTAGGTGGAAGAACATGCTGCAAACGTGTCAGTTTTCGAGAATACTGCAGAAGCCTGGGGAAACGTACTGCATGAGGATGGCGTTTGGCAGTTGGCCATCCTTGGGTTCAAGTTCTCGAGGAAGCTCTTTGCGCCAGTCCTCGAGTCGGCGGTGCAGTTCACTCAGCTTTTTCAACTCGACAGCCTTACCACTAGAACGTCCAATGTGGTTCGGGTGGTAGAAAAAGAGGAGCAGATCACTACTGATTTCACAGAGCTTCGCGAGTTGCAGACCTATGGCCCTCGTTCGTGACGGCTGCTGGATTGTGCGATCAAAGCCGGCATCGGAATACGCCGACCAGAGTTCCGCGTCCTCCCCAGGGAAAACGTCATACTTGGGTACGTTGTATGAGTTTTTGGGGATCTGTGGCAGTCGGCCAAGGTAATTGGACCAGCACTTGTCGAACAAGAAACATCCCCAAAAGGTGATACGCCTGGCGTCGACGGCGTGCTCTCCCAAGTTTTCTCTGTCGGCTGAGATGCCACCGTCATCGAAATTAAGACCGATGTCCTGCGCCATGCGGAAAGCCATGCCTGAGTAGACCCAGCCTTTGGCTTCACGGCCACAACCAGCTTCACGAACGGACATGAGCGCCAGGGCCTGTACCGTCGTCAATCTTGGCTTCTCGTATTCATCATTTTCGATGATGAGCCGTTTGGCTTCTGCAAAGAAATGATCTCCTTTGGACCGACCATCTTCTGGTGTGGCGCCCGGAACGCTTGTGAAGTGGCAGCCGAGGGCGAGCATGGCATTGACGAGCAAGGGCGAGCAGTACGCTGTGCCTTTGGTGGGTAGGGCGTAACGACCCTTGACAAAGTCGCGGTAGAAGAGGGTTTTGGACAAGGTGGCGAAGTAGGGATAGTGCCAGTTGAAGTACATATTCATGAGGTGGGCGACAAGTTCCTTGTCCTTGGTGACGGTGGTCCAACTGACGACGGGGTCCTCGTTGACAGCGAGTTGGCTGGCCGCAGGCTGTTCGACGCGGTCATCCATGGGGTCGCCGAGATAGATGAGATGAGACGTGCCTCCGATGAACCGCACAGCGCCGTTCTCGAGGCGGAGCTCGCCCATCTTGCGGGCCAGCTCACGCTCCCCCTCAACGGGTTGGTTGGTCGTGTACTCATCCTCAAAGGTCTCTTCGAACCCTTGCTCGTCCTCCTGCGAGTTGTCTTCGTGTTTGATAATCTGTTCGGCCACCGTGTCGAGGCTGTCGCACGTCCGGATCCGTTTGACAATGTCTGGCACCTCGTCCTCGGCGGCATTCAAGATGGCTTCGATGAGAATCTGCAGAGTGGAGGTGCGGGCCTTCATGCTATCGATCTTCTCACGATACACGCCCTTGCGCCGGTGGTCCGAGTTGGGATCGTAAACGCACTCAGTGCCGTACACGCTGGCACAGGCAGCACAGCTGGGCAGGGCGCCATCGCATTTGGATTTCCTCCGGCGACAAGCAATGCAGGCGGTGCTCACGCATCTCCGTTTCTGCGCGGCCGAGTCGGCACCGCGGCGGGGCTTCTTCTTGTTTGCCGGGGGGCCAGGCGCCGCTGTGGAGTGGCCGTTGACGGAGCTCAGAGCAGCGGCAGGCTGGCGGATAGTAACCTGAGGGTCGTCCATGGCGGAGACGCAGATTCACTAGCTATCGTGTCTCAGGCCGCTCGTCCGTCCGTCCGTCCGTCAGTCAATCAATCAATCAATCAGGCAGTCACTCGCTCACTCGCTCACTCGCTCACAAGAGTGAGCTGGAGATGCCGGAGATGCGAGAACAAGGTGGCGGGTGTGTCGTTGAACAGTGGCTCGGCCCAGGAGGGGGAGGGGCCAGCAGCAGGCTGATGGATAGCGGCAGTACGCGGATGGGACGGGATAACCAAGGGCCTGACTGAGGCTTGACTGCCGACCCGGGCGACTGGGCCAGTATGGTGAGGCGGTACACAACCGGGCAAGGTCGTGGAGGGTGGATGAGATAACGAGAGGTTGCGCGATTGGAGGAGTCGCCACGAGGTTAGACTGATAAGGGAGGTCGCGGGCAGGGAGCTGCAGTCGAGCGGGCGTTGGTGGTCAAGACGGGCTGCGATGAGATTGGTATCTTGCCTTTGCTAGTAGGCGCGGGTGACTGGTCAACTGGTCATTGCACACTCCCGTCAGGGGCGCAACATGGCTGGCGGGGTGGTTGAAGGCTGAATCGGGACGTGGACGTAGATGAGGTTGAGTGACAGGCGGATCAGAGGCAGTGACAGCCCCGCCTCGTGAGATCTGCGAGGAGGCAGAGAGGGCGACGGATGATCCGGGGTACCCAGGAGACGCAGGCTGCAGATGGAGGGTGTCGTTGGGGGACCCGGGCAGGACAGGCAGTCAATTGTCCTTGTCGGGGATCGCGAGAAGTCGATGATTTTGATGACAGCAGTGGTGAGCGATGCCGCAGCGGCTATGCGAAAAATGTGAAGGCTCGAATTGAGCGCAAGGGCTTTGGTTGCAACAGTGGTCGTGACTGGCCGGGCCTTGGCGTGTGGAGGAGGTCAGGCCGATGTTCGTTAGCCCAGGGCGTCAGTCAATAAAGGTGACAGGTTCTGCAGGGATGCGCCCAGGCTGCGGCTGATGAGAAATGGGGACGCTATGAGTAGTTGATCGCCAGAAGTTTGTCTTTGTCGGAGGGAGCTGACCCTGAGTCGCCAGGCCAGGCAGATCAAGTACTGTAAGGGCTGACCAAACTTTGGCGGGCAAGTGGTTGATAAGCAACTGAATGTGTTGCTAGGTGAGGCAGGGTGCCTTGGGTCCCTCTTCTTCCGATGGTGGTTGAACGACTCTGAGCGGGTGATTAGTGAGAAAGACAAGTAGTTCGTTTCCCTCTCTCTCTCCCCCCGAAGACCGGAAGCAGGGCAGGCACAGCCGGAACACGAAACCGACGGGACAGAGAGGCAGGCACAGACAGGCAGGCACAGACAGACAGACAGGCAGGCAGGCACGCAGTCAGGTAGGAGCGAGCGAGGGCGGCCAGACATGAAGCAGCATCCGGACCCAGCAAGGGCGCGAGCGAGGCAAGAGCTGGGCCAGCTAGAGGCAGGCACTGGCCACACCTGAGGCAAGTATTAGGTAAGAGAAGTGCCAAGTGGGGAAAGGCCCGACATTTGCTCAAACACCATTGCCCCCCCCTCCCTCCCTCCTCAGTCTGGCGCCTCCATTCCCGCCATCGTAGGGCCCCCATCGCATGCTCGTCGCAAAGGACAGGGAGGGCACCGCAAGGGGCAGCGTGGGACACGGCAAGGCAGTTGGCAGCACTGGGCGTCCGCTTTTTCGGTTCCTTCATTGGATGCGGCAGGCAAATTTGGTTCACTCGACCCTCTTGGCAATGACTTCATCCGCCCACTGTCAAAGCAATGGCGGAGCGGGTTGCAGGGTCAGTCTGAGCAGCACGGATCAACGCTGCAGCAGCCAATATCCAGTCTACAGGGAAGGAAGGAAGGAAGGAAAGAAGAATGGCGCAATGGCAGAGACTGGCTCAGTACAGCAGCGTGGTACAAGCAAAGCCCAAGCCCCAGAGCAACGAACAGCGCCCGACCTCTCTTCATCAGCAGCCGGTGGGGGAACCGACCACGTCTCGCCACGCATTGGCGTTGGCGCTGCGTCTCGTTGCGGCGGCACATGTCCACCCACGCTGATGCCATGCTTTGTTGTGCTGTCGCTCCGCGGAGCGATCGGGTGCACCCCACTCGATGCCCTTTTCCAAGCCCACGGCGACATGCTTGATTTGGTGGGGGAAACCGCGGGGTCCTGGCACAGACCGTTCAGCAGACCCTGCGTCATTTCACCACGTCTTGGCACATGCCTCCTTGGCCGCCCTCTCGCCCTCTCCGACCTGGCTCACCACCAGATCTGTCAATACATCTCGTTCTGGTCCTGATATATGTTTCTCGCGTGATGCATGCACTGGTCGATCTAGTATACCTATCCGCCGCCGGGAGTGGTTGGCTTCCTCTCACCTGCCGCGTCGGTCACACGATGTCTCCCCCCCCCCGGTTCCGCGCAACTGGCTTCTCCAGTCGTCCCCATCGCAGACTGCACTTCCCTGCCCCCCTTCCTGTACACGCGGATACGTGGAGGAACCAAGTAAAGGCTGCGATTCGAAGATCCGTTCTCCACTGCCCCGTATCGTTCATCGTTGATCCACCTCCCCCTGCCCCTCAAAATGTATGCTGCTGTGAGGATTGGACATGGCCAAGAAGTATGTACAGCCAAGGCAACTTCCTTACACATCTCCGGGCGGCCGACCATGCGCGCTCACCCGTCCTTTCATTGTCCCATGTTTCCACGTCCAGTTACCGAGATTCACCATCCGGGGGCGGCCCGTCACTCGGACCAGACCTGGACAAGCGATTCCTCAGCCAACTAAGCGGGCCACCCTGTGATGGAGTCTGGTTCTGTCCTTGGCCTGCCCCGGCCTGCTGGTGTTCCCGATTCCAACTGCTCGGTGTTGGGCTTCGTTGCCTAGTGCGAGAGCCCGTGTTCGTTGCTGGTGGAGACATCGAGTGCCGCCTCTGAGACGACTGTCGAGACGAAGACTGTGAGTCGTACGGTCTCGGTGGGAAGATGTCATAGCCTCGAGGGCTGCGGGAGCTGCCCTCGCCCCTCGTGTTGCCCGCTGGCCCATTCTGTGGTAGTTGGAAGGACCAGTGGAATTGCCGTGTATGTACAGGCCGCGTCGACGGGTGAGGCGGTTGCGGCGGAGCAGCATAGCCCCGGCCGCCTGTGCTGTTGGGGGGAGGAGCGCCATCACCGTGGGGACTTGGCATGCCGAACCCGAAAAACGGGGGAGGTTGTCCACCACCGGGTGGCGCTGAATTCGATGGTCCGGGTGCCGGTCTGCCGCTCCCTTCCCCTCCATCACCTTGCTGACCATCGCTCGCACTTTCGGTCCTCTCCTCGATCGGTGTTCGACAAATGGGACAAGTGTTGTGCTCCTTGAGCCACATCACGACGCACGTGTCATGGAACCAGTGCTTGCAAGGCAAGTATACCACTTCCTCGCCCTTCTTCAGCTCATCGATGCAAATGGTACACTCGGCCGTGCCTTCGGGGCCCAGCATGTCGTCATCCACTGCCTTGCGTTGCAATTTGCCGATGGCGTCCTCAGAGGCTGGCGGCGCGGCGTTTGACTGCGGGTTCGTCTCCATCATGTTGGAAATGATCCGGTCGAGAGCTTCTTGCGTGTAGACCGCATCACCAAATTGACCATTTCCTGGGGCCAGCATGTTCAAGATCTGATGCAGACTCGCAGCAAGGTTCTGGGTACCAGCGGCGCGGGGCCGTGGGCCTTGTCCAGGCATGTCTTCACCGTGCGGCTGTTGTGGTGGACCGGCGCCCGTGAGAATGTTGCTGAAAACTCTGGATTCATCATCAGGCCAAGGTTCCGCATCATCCCGTAATGAGCTCACGATGTGAGTCTGGGGAAAGCTGGACTTACGACTGAAAATCATCATTGCCCTGCCCCTGCCCCTGCCCCTGCCCCTGCTCTTCGGAAGGGCGTCCAAATGCTCGAGCCCGACCACCGCCTTGGACATGGATCGGTCCGGTAGCGATTGTGAAGCTTGTGAAACCGTTCCCTCGCCTAGTAGTGAACGTCCGCACATTTCCAGAACCGCCAAATGGACTGCTGCCAAATGGTTGGGGAGGCCTTTGCGGATGGTCATGGTCAAAGTCTGGCCCGCCTTGTGCCCCGTTTCCAAATGTGCTCAGGAGCTCGAGGAAGCGGCCTATCACCTGGTCCCCATTGGCGGGATCAGGCGGCTGGCGCCCACCTTGTTCATCTCCGTGAGGATGACCCCATGTGGATCGATGTACATTGAATCCATGGGGGCCTTGGTGTAAGTGTTCCTCAATATCAGCTTCGTCGGGGTCGGAGTCGGAGTCTGCCCTGCGGGGCCCACGGGGACCGTCGCCGGAGGAGAGAGGCGATGGGGCATCGTGGAAGTCGCGAGGATCGTTCTCTTGGGAAATCTATGGAGTTTGTCAACATATATGGTCACCCGACGCTGTGTTGGGGCGAACAAACGATTTCTGTTGCTTCGCTTTCGCACCGCGGGCACACGAGTCCATGAAGCGTATCCTTTTCCCATTCGTGTTCGCACGCATGGCAGTAGACGACTTCGCGATTGAGGCCGGCTTCTCTATCGCCCCGAGCCCTACTCCCATCTTGGAAGTTCATGTTGGCCTCTTCTTGATTGCGCTGGTAGGCAGCGAGAGCTGTCAGACCAAGGCCGGCAAGAAGGCCAGCAGTTCGAAGCGCTCGGAACGCCAGACTGATGAAGCTCGAAGGCGTATCGAGCGTATGTGTCGGAAAGGGTCTAACTTAATACGCAGGGGGGCCGTGAAGGTTGGATCGAGCAGATATTTGGCGTCGGGGCAAAGAGTTCGTGAAGACGAATTGGCTGGAAGTCTGACGCTGAAACAGAGGGCTGGCTTGTGCTAGCTCGGTGGAGGTATGACTAGGTCGGAGGGCGCCTGGACTTAATCGACTTGCAGGCTTTGGCCGTCAGCAAGCCAAATGACGAGGCTGTGTGCTGTCACTGGTGCATCGAATGTAAATTGAGCCGTGGGGGGATATCTGGCTGAATGTCAGTACCCAGAAGCGAGACAACATCAGACAAGACTATTTGGCAAAGTGATTCCTATTAAGAGATCTCGTAATAGCACCCTGGCCGTCCTATTTGTCCCGTAGAGACAAGGAGGGCATTGGCGAAAGCGACTGATGTTCCACGTACCCGGATTGGTGAATCATCCAACTTGGGGTTGATCAGGTAGGCAAGTACCCAAGGCAGGCAACCACGGCGAACTCAGTGTTGGAGCAGAGGATAGACAAGCCTGACAAAATACTCGTTGAATGAAACGGTCAGCAGATGAGGGATGCCTCGTAGGTGGCATGCGCCGCAGGATTTCGTAGGAAGACGGAGGGTGTGTTCGATGGACAATCGCCGATGGTACCGGCGACCGTAGGAGCTCGTGGGCGCTCGCGTTGTACCCTTGTGCAATATGATGTGGCAGCGGCGTCGAGTGGAGCAGGTTGAGCAAGCAAGTGACGTTGGGGTCAGGTCAGGTCCTGGACGCTGGGCACCTGCTTCTTTGGTGGGGCACCGCTAGCTTCGACCATGTCTGTGGCATTCCACACGATTCACCATGGACCCTCCGGCACTGAGATGCTGTTCGGAGACCACTTGGCGTTTTTTTCCAGCATCTTTTGATACGGCCTCGCTCCCCGGCCTTGCTGAGACAAGGGCTCGCATCTTTATCTTCCATTCTAGGCAACAGGCAGTTGCCCATCGAAGTGTTCATCGGCATAGGGGGTTGATCGTCACCAACATCGGCGCTGTGTCAGTGCAAGGCCTTGGACACCTCATCGAGTCTTCAAATTCGTTTTAATACATCCGATGACTGGAGTGCCCTTCACGGACTTTGAAAGCATCGGGCAAATGTTTACGTTTGTTCCAATTCGTACTCGTTGTATCCCTCGGCTCTTCGATGCACATTTACTGTCTTCAGTTGCCCAAAACTTCCGGGCCCTAGATCGCTGCGTGAGAGGTGATAGGCAGATCAACGAGATGTTGCAGGGAGAGGGACTTAGTAATGTAAACTTGAGCGTTTGTTGTATCCACCTCCTACAGTCTCTTAGAAATACAGATTGCGCCGCCGTGACCCAGCATCCTCCGGGTGGTTATGTACACCCACAGTCCCTCTCATCGTACACGATGACTTTGCCCCCTCTCCAAACCACAGAACCAAACAGCAGCGATACTTTTCAAGCCGCTCTACCTCTTGCGCACATTCCGCATCAAAAAGGCCCCCACTACACCTGCCGCGACAGCGACACCACTGACGATCGCCACGCCCATCAGGCCCTCCTTGGCCACCTTGTCGTCCACCAGCTGCCGCAGGTTGGACGCCTGCAGATTCGCCGGCTCCTTCTCCAGGAGAAGATCGTTGTATCGTCTCGCCTCGCCATAGTTGCCGAGCTTGTAGTTGCCCAGAGCCAGGTAGTAAAGGCACTCGCGGCGGCGCTCGGGGGACACGCGGAAGATTTCGGAGAGGAGGCGCACGCCGAGTTGCTGGTCGTTGCGGGAGTCGGATTTCACCAGGCCCTGCGTGTGGTCAGTGACTATGATCTGGAAGTGCGTGAGGCCTGAGGAAGACAGCCATACCCAGGCGTAGTTGAATTTGGTCTGCACTCCGACCATGTCGCCTTCTTTCTCGTACTGGGCGCGGAGAACCTGAAGCTCGGACGCCTTGAGAGGCCTGCTTGTTGTTAGATTGATCTTGGAAGGGAGATATCGCTTCGGACTCACGACTCGGCATCGAGGGCATCTACGAACTGGTCAGTGGGACGTTGCATGTGATGGGGCGAGGGCACCTACAGGGTAGCTCGGAGACCATTTTGAGGGCTTTCCAAGAGGTCCGAGGTTGGATGTCAAGGATTTCAGGGTAATTTTGTTCTCAGCGAGGTGTGAGGCAGAGCAATCGTTAGGAGGACAAGCAAAGTCAGTCTGGCAAACAGGAAGTTGGCGATGCAAAGATGCCGCGGCGAGAGCAAACGTGGCTGAAGCTGGATGTAGACATGGGGCCACGCCACAATGACGACGAGCGGGCGGCCTGCGAAGAAACGATAAGCCAAGCGATAAGAACCCCCCACGTCGTCCCGGTGATACAGCTTTATTTAGAACCTACCACATTGGGACAGCGGGACAGTGCATGCACTCTCACATCAACACCACGCGAGCGCGACCGTGACATCCTCACCCTGTTATCGTGAGTGCATCGACCTTGCCCTTCATCGAGACCGACACAGCTCTCAACGCACTCAGCCGCTCACCACACATCGACCGTGAAAATGCTTCTCGCCGAGGACCCCGCAACGCTCATCCACCACACCATTGACAACTTCAACATCCAGCCCGATAAACAAGCATGCGCCCGCATCAATGAGTCCCTCTCCACCCTCCAACAGGCCCGCGACCTGCGCGCCCGCGAAGCCGAAAATGCCCTCAAGAGTGCGTCGTCCCCATCTTACCCCCCCTCCCCCTATTACGAACGTGAAACTGACACGGCACGCCAGAGCTCTCCCGCACCCTCAACACCATGACCTCCCAACACAACGACCTGACAGCCTCGCACTCCTCTGCGGCCCACGCCTCCGAAATCGCTTCCCTCGACACGCAAAAGTTCCGCACCGCGAAGGCCGCCTCAGACGCCGAGGTCGAAGCAGAGCGCCTCGCCGCCCAGGCCGCCGACCTCGCCGCGCGTCTGCAGGAGCTCGAGGTCCAGGGCGTCGACGGCGCCGCGGACGAGGAGGCGCGCAGGAGGCGCGCGCGCGACCCCCTGGAGGACGAGGTGCTGCTGCGACTGAGCGTGTACCGCGGCCTCGGCATTGAGATTGAGCGGGACGAGAAGGAGGGCGGTGGCGGAGAGGTCTTCTCCAGGGCCGTGGTGCGGAATGACCGCAAGGGGGATGTGCATGTGGTCAACATGGACAAGAAGTTCAGCAAGTTTTTCTATGCCAACTATTTCTGGCAGACCTTGTAAGGTGCTTGTACGCAAGAAGGAATTGGGAGGGCGTTTGGCGTTGGATACCATTTGATATTGGATAGCAGGGCCGTTTGGAACAACAAGAACACCGCATCAGAATGAATATAACGGATGACGATCAGTGTTGGCAGATGAATGTCAAATGTTTCAGTTATTCTGTCTTCAACCAGCCTTCTGAATAATGTGAGAACTGGTCAACTATGGTTGAAGAGCACGGACTGTATCAGCAAGCCTTATCTAGCCGTCTCAAGGACGGTGCATTCGTCCTCCAGGCCATGCTGGCATGTGTCCCAAAACAATAATCTGAACTCCCTGGTCGACTGGTGCCGAAGGCTCACTGAACTGTCCATAGGGCCACTCAAAGATCCAGTAGTGCGACAGAAATGCTGCTGCTCCGTCACCAAGCTGCAACAAACAAATGTCAACAAACAAGTAAACCAGGACTTTTATCTTGAGAAGCACCGCAGACTTCTTCTCAGATGAATCATAACTTGGATGGGAAAGATGGATCCAATGTCTTGAGCTCACTGGCTGCGGGACATATGTGTAAGGCCCTGCCCGTCACATAATCTTGTCAAATCGGATGCAGACATTTGTACATTATTATGTCTCCCGTGCTGCTTTGTTCTGTACCGAAAAAGCCATGATAGGAACGACGCCGACTCGACTTCTCATAGACGCCAGCCCCCATGCCAAGTCAGCTCATGCAAGTTACAAGAACTCCTCCAACACGACCACCCTCGTCCTTGCGACATCGGACCCTTGCTCGCCATCGCCCATAATCCTCATGATTTCTATCATCCGCCCTGGTACTTGTTAGTTTGACCATCAGATGCATCCAGGCGAAAGGCACTCACGGATATCTGCTCTCGCCCTCACAAACAGCGGGTCTCGCACGACGAGCTCCGTACCGCCCGGCTGTTTCGCCGCCTCTCGAATGACGCTTCCGATGCACAGCGCCTCCAAGAACGCCCTGTGATTGAAAACCCACCACACCCTTGCCTCGAGCTCGAACAGTGAGAACAGGAGGAAGAAGCTGCCGATAGCGTCGTGCGCTGCCTCGAGCGTCCCGCGCACGTTCGCCGGCACGTCGGCGCTTTCCGACGCATGAACGAGCATCAGGTTGTGATGGTAGTTGCTCGTCAAGAAGAGGGTCTGACGTACCACACGACGGTTCGTGCGTGCAAGGGCCGAGAGCGACTCGCCGTCCCAGCTTCGGAACACGTCGGGAAAAGAGCGGTACACGGCACGAAAGTCGGCGATGAGCTTAGACTTGTGGCGGGCGGTAGCACAGATGGGGAGGTCGAGGGAGCGTGGCGAGCATATTGTTTCCTGGACGAGGTTTGCCAACGTCCACGAGCCGCGAATGTAGGCAATGTCGGTGGGATCACTGTTGGCGATGGCGGAGCCGTCGTCGGAAAGATCCTCGACGGAGACGTCGGTGTGAGTCGCCGAAGGAGGTAAGGACAGAAGAACAGTGAGAAAAGTATCCTGAAGGAGGACAGCCTGCCACAGCTTACGACGCTGTTGTTTCTCAAACAGAGAGGCATGAGGGGTGACTATGTTGGGATCGCGATGAAGACCCATGGCATACGCCTGGCGCACCAGGATGCCCGAGAACGCCCATCCGTCGGACGCATGATTATCATTAATGAGGAAATATGTGACGAGGACCATGGCCTGGACAGACCGCATAGATGCAGTGCTGAGATAGGAGAAGATGCGCAGCGCCTGATTGCTGGCAGAGGCGTAGAACTCGGCCGTTTGTTTAGCAGCCTCTTTGCTTGTGTTGGGTGACTCCACAAATTGTGTGCCGAGAGCGAGCATGGTGAAGATGAGGCCGATGAAAGCAGGGTCTGACTGGTTTCGCTCTTCTAAGGGCAGGCTCCAGAAGTGCTCATAGTCTGCGTAGAAGGTCTGACGGTGGATCATGGGATAGACGGGATCGACAACGTCAAAATATTTGGTCAGCAGAATATCTGCTTGGAATTTGTCTGGCAGCACACCAATGACCTCTGGCAAACCGCCCTCGAACGTCCAGTAGTTGGCAAAAGGGTGCTCAGACCCGATGCCAAAAACATTGCTCGCCGTCGGTAGGGAGTAGGGCACATTGGAGAGGAGCGTGCTCGAGTTGGTGAGGCCGCGGGAGGCAAAACTGCGACCATCAATGGCGCCGCGATCGGCGACATTCGGAATGACAGAAGGGCTTCCGTCCGAACTTCGTTTTTTAGGAGGCTTCGTCATGCGGCGCCCATTGGCGGCAGTGCGCGTTGTTTCTCTGTGCTCGGTCAGTATGGCCAGTAGAATGCCGTCGAACCTGCTGAGCATCTTACTCGAGGAGATCCGCAACAGCATCATATTTGCACTCGGTCTGTCGTTTGATGCAGGCCAGGCAATGGGGCCGGCCTCTATCGCACTGCGACGGTCAGTCTCGGTGCGCGCGACGTGAAATGGGCAAAATTTGGAATAAGACGGCAATGAGTCAACAGAGCGCACATGGCAAGCTCACCACAACTCAAGCCGCGCTCACTTCATCGGACGTAGATCGGCAAACCGTTAGTCGTACCTTTGTCTTTCTGTCAACACATTCGCGACAGCTCAGCGTAGGCTTGTTACGCTTCTGCTTCTTTTTCGCCGGTCCGTCAGGGCTCGCCTGGTCCTCCGGGCTGGCGACGAGGGACTCATGGCCATATGCAGGAACGGCCTCTTGCTCGCGCTTCAGCTCAGTCGCGCGGTGCTGCTGCTGCTGCTGGTGTGGCGACGCCTGTGGCCGTCCGCCAAAAGTCGAGGCTGGTGATGGGTAGACGTTCACAGCAGCCAGCTGCTGCTGCTGTTGCGGCTGACCGTTCGTGAGTGACGATGCCATTGGCGTGTGGTTCTGCAAACTTTGACCACGGCATCCGGCGGCTCGTGGTCGCCGCGCTTCGTGATGATCGGCTTGCGGCCCCTCCAATGGTCGGCCTCCTGTCCGCCGAAATCGCTGACCGGGATGCCACGCCGTGTTTTTGCTGGGCCGCCGTGCAGGATTGTCGTAGGGCTGAGCGGTCCGAATGAGTATGACAAGCTGGTTGAGGCCGCCGGGAATAAACACGAGATGCTCGTCGTGGGCTCGTGCGGTGCCGGCTTGGCTGGCTGGCTGGGGAAGCTCGCCCTGGGAATAAACTGGCGATTGTGGCAGATGCAGGAAAGTATGTGGGAATAATGGGTAAAAAGGAGGAGGAACGGCCTGAGAGGGGCACTGCCGATAGAGATTGAAATGGAGACCAGTGACGAAAATGTGCTGCATCTGGGATGGGACTGGGGGACCAAACCCGGGAGGCTCGATTGAGCTGCGAGCTGCAAGCTGGATGGAGCTGGACTCGACCTAAACTGAAGAAAGGATGCCGAAAACCAGGGCCGGTACTTGTCGGAAGAAGCGCGCGATCTACTAGGCTGGAGCTATACGCTGCTAGCAGCCGTCCACAGTGGCTGTGAAGGGGATTTTGGTCCCTGGCCCCCTCGTCATGGTGACCTGGGTGGGATTTTTCGTCGCCATCTAGACGCTGACTGATGGACTCAAGATGTTGATGGTGCTGGCTGTTGGTGGTGTTTTGATCGTGGACTTTCTTCTGAACAAGTCAATCGTTCCTTCTTTTCCTCCAAGTGACTGTAGTTGGAAGGCAGCAATCAACCCCGCAGGACTTTTCTCCCGTCTCCAAGTCAAGTAGTGGCCGTGCACTGAGAGCAACAGCCACGTTAACATCCAAAACACTTGATCATCAGCATGACTCGAGGCGTCGATGACGGCGCATAAGCTCCCTACCTACCTAGATCAGCTGGTCATGGAGCACGGAACGAGACTTTAGCCGCTT